TCATTCATGCGATTGTTAATCGAGCGAGATCACATCACTTTTAATCACTCGAACTGTTTTCTAAGGCAGTGTGTATTTGATCATGATCTCTCGTTCCGACGTGTTAAAGTAGAACCCTAGCTACTAGATGGTTCCTTAGCCACATCTTCATTTCCTTTTTCACAATAATATCCTCTTAAATTTATGACTGATTTTGTTGGGCATGAATTGGGGTTGGGAGATGGACATGAGGTGGGGGAAGGGCAAGACGTACAGGCTCTGTTTCTCCACTCTGAGCGGTAAGTATTCCCTGAGCAACACCCATCCGGTGCTTCGTCTCTGAGTCGCCCTATAATGCGCCTTTTCTTGACTTGGGGAAGGAAACGAAGCTTGACTTTTCCAATGATTAGAAGATTCGTGGCAGGATTTGGCGCGTTCCATGTCAAGATTTGTTCCCCCGAATTTTTGGTGAAGTTGAGTTTCCATGTTGATAGAACGGTGGGCATAAGTGTTGCGGGATCGGGCGTCACCCGGGTACTGGTATCACAGACGGCGGGAAGATTGTTGCAGAGGCTGTATGGATTGGATATTTCTTTCCCATTTGGGCATCGATCAAATCCTTCATTGTAGGTTGTAACGTAGATGCTGTCGGCGAAAGGTACGTTGTAAACGACTTCACCTGTTTCAGAGAATGAGCTGCCTGCGACAGACCTCAGTTCAATACGGGTTACTGAATGTTCTTTGTCACTTCCCGTTTTGTATTCTTTAAGGGGAAGGTACACCTTGAAACTCTGCACAAATGGTGCCAAATTCTCTCCACTCGCCAGCCAGTTATATCGAAGTAACCATGATCGCCGCGCTGGTATACGGAAGGTAACAGAATTCCCTTTTGCCAGAGAAGGCAGATTTATGAAGCCCGTATCAAAATCGTTTTCAGGACGAGTTGGTATGTATACAAATCTTTCAACCTCGTGAAATGTTGAGATTGGTTCGTAGGCAATTAGAGTGTCTAAGGTATGTTTTGTAAAGAATCCAGTCGAGGTGCACTCGCCGATTTTCTTTCCTTGGTTGAGGTACTCCAACTTATCGCAGTACAAGGCAGCATGTGATTGAAGACGGTATTGTGCCATAAAAAAGCCCAGCATAAGCTGACTTGCGCTCAGAAGATCGTTTGAAACTGTTATAGATTCTGAAAGCTTCTTCGCAACTTCACCCCGAACAACGCGAGCTAGGGCATCAACGAGGTCAAATTGAAAATCGAAAATATTTTCTCTCAGGGCAGCAAATTCAGCCAAAGTTCCTTCCAGTTTTTCACACAACAGCATTCCTCCTACCACACCCTGAGTTGCAGAGGCACCAATACCTTGAGCACTGAACAACAGATCGCAAGTCGAGTCCTTAAACGCTGCCCACAGAGCATCATTTTGAGCAAGCCGAGCCTTCGAAACTTTTGGCGTGTAATCCCCGTAGCCCTTGATAAACCTATCTGCATCAAAACCAATGTCCTCGATCTTGTTCTTCTTAATTGCTTCCACCATGTCGTAAAGGTTTGCAATCTGATCTGCGTTATCTATGAAGGCTTTATCCAGTGCTGACAAGTCGTCGTACACGCTTGCAAGATTAACCATTAAAGCAATTCCTCTTGCTGCTTCCGCAATAGCCCTTGCTACCTCTGTTGTCTGCTCATAGATATCACCTGCTTCTAATCCGCCAAAGATTACCTTCAATACATTGGCATGCTCAGCGATCTTAAGTCCCAAAATTGTACTTTCTTCTATTACTTGGAGGGCCTGAGCAGTTACCAAAGCTATCATGGCACCTTTTACATCTCCATCCAGCTTCTCAGACAGAGTGCCAGCCCTAGTGTCAAACTCCTTCAATTTATCCTTGAGGAACGTAACGTCCGCTTGGGCAATACCTTGGTCGTACTCTGCAAGGCCTTTGAAATACCCGGAAATGCCTTCCACAGCAGTTTGCAAATTTTCGTCTAAGTTTCGGATGTTTCCTAAAAGTTCAATGTGCTGCAAAGTTTGAGTCTGTAGTTTTATCATTTCTTGGTTGTCTATCCTGGAATACAAACGCAAGTTACGGGTGGCAGGAGGATTGTCTCGGTCCAGTTTGAGTTTCTTTAATGATTGGAACAGTTTTGAAATACTTCCGACGGTACACATGTCTTCTGCTTGTAAATCAATACAGGCCAGAGAAACATAAGACATGGCATTTTTTCTCTCCTCCACGAGTGCCATGGCATCTGGCAGACTTGAAAAAGCCCGTACTTCAACTGCTTTTCGAAAGAAATCATCCCAGTAAAGGGTGCTGCTATATGCCAAAATTAATTGTCCCATTCTGTCAATCTCTTTGAGATCTGCTTCCAAAGATGACTTGTCGGGTCTACTCAGAGAATTGCTACAAAAGCTACGCGCTATGAAAGTGCTAACTTTGTACCACAGCAAGGCACCCATCATAGGGAGGGCGGGTGCAACATCACATTTATTGTCATCAACACATGCATCTTGCACGTTAGTACCATCGGAGTCACCATAAGGATGAGGAGTTTCGGATCCAGAGCATAATTTAACGTTCTTACAGATTTTGTCTGTTGAAAAGGTGTAAGCATCTTGCTTATCGAGGTCTTCTTTTACTCGAGAACACATGGTTTCTATTGGTATGGCCACACTTGCTGGTGGCTCTTGGGAAGGACTGAGAAGAGTGGCGATGCAGCGATAGTCGTAATGAGCACGAAGCGTTCTTAGGATGAAACCTAATCCACGTTCTCGATAATTTGTCTGAAGGCTCTTGCTCTTAAAAAACTTTGATACAACAGGAATTTCTGGTTCATCTAGAAGTTTCTTCAGATCTCCAAGCAGACTTCTGTCCTCTTCTATGGCAGATACATTCAGGTTGTCAATCCCTTCAAGACGAGACGGCAATTGCTCCAGGATACTGATAAGTTTTTCAGCCTGTGCGGCATTTCCTTCTCTTTTTAACTTTTCAAAAACTGGAACACTTTCATCCCGAGCGTGAAGAACCTCTTGCAGTTTTTTTGCCCACTGAGGATCTTTTTCTGTTCCTTCCACACCGAAAAAAATTGCAAGAAAAACGATGCCGCATCTTACAGCAATCATCGCTTACCCTGGAATGATAGTCTCACTGCAAAATACAGTAAAATAAACTAAACATCATGAAACAAAAAAATAAGAAAAAGACTTCAAAAACCATACATTTAGGTCACGTGTAGGTGGTTAAACTGATGAACGACTAAATTATTTATAATTTTCTTTTGATTTTTACTTAAAACTGATATTTAAATTTTCCATTACACTAAGAAAATAGAACAAAACATTTCCTGATAATAATATTATCCAACTTTGTCTTAAAAGAAGAGTTATCTTAAATTTACGGTAGTCTATCTTGAAAGAGTGCCCTAAATGAATTCAATGAGCCACAAAGTTATCCTTTGGAATTACATTCAGTGAACCTCAACAATTCGTCGTTAAAAATTTATGTTGACTTTTGCTCTCGTTATCTTACTTTAATTTTATTTTATTTTTTCATCTTTATTTAAACTGTCTTTTGTTTTTGATTTTATTGTAATTGTATTATGTTTTGTTTTAATTAAACCAGTGGTCCATTTTGGTCGTAGGTTAGTTTTTACCGACATTTTTGTGATGCAAGTACCCTTAATTTCCGGCAAGTAATCGATTAGACTGTAATTTTACAATCCGATAAAGCAGCAAAATGAAACCGAAACACGTGAGGAAAAAATGTTTTATATTTCGGCTTTTCAAACAGGAAAGAAAAGGAATTTAGACAAAGCTTAAAAAATAAGGGAGCCCGTGTATTTCTGGACCCTACAAAATCCGCACTATCTTGCATCAAAGCGAGAAATAACATTTTGTCCACAGAATTCCTCAACATTGTAATAAAATTCCATATCATATGATATTAGCGTTTTAAAAAGGGATTTCCACAAGTTTCGAATCTTGTAAAGCGATGATACCATACAGTACCAACTTACAGACCTATTCAATTTTATCTAAAGATAACAACTGATGCATGAAAAGCACTCCAACTAGTAACAATGTTTTAGAAACCCAAGTGGGAAAACCAGGTTCCCTCTGTAACCCCTAATAAGAATAAGGAAAATGATCACGAACTCAAGAAGCTGTTGATTGTTGGGCAAACTTTCCTTGCAAGATAACGAATAGAGATTAGTATGAACAACTTGTAATCTGACATTAGGGTGTAGAGGGTTGGTAGAAAAGTAGGATGGGGAAAAAAAGGAACTTCAGTAAGACTACGAGTCCATTCTTTCGTTTAAAGCTATAGGACATATAGTTCAGTAAATTTGCTGAAGCTCTATTCACGGTACTACACTGTCGTTCAAGATTTGCTTTTTTAAAAGATTTATATTAATCTCGATTTTAGAAGAGGAAAAAACGGAAAAAATGGGACATCGATTAGGTATCAACTGTAGCTTTCCATCAAATACTTCGTCAAATTTCTGTACCATCAACAAGGAGGTAAACGAACGTTTTTCCTAATAACGTTGCATGTTACCAAAATTTCATCTTATTTCTCTGATTCGCGGCAGTTCGTACAATAAGTATACCAAAACTTATCGGCCGAGAGAATAATAGAGGTTGGTGCAAACTATTCAAGTAAAACATTTACACATTATCTTTCAAGGACAATCTGCACCAGGTGCGCTTCAAAATGTTTCAATTAGTTACAATACGAAATGTATGCTGCTAGTCACTGATGATGAATGGATGTCCTATCCAAACTCACGTTTTCATGTATTCGCCTACTCCTACAGCATTTTTTCCGCCATGTCAAAAAAAAAAAAAAAAAAAAAAAAAAGGAAACCCATTCGACATACCTTGGCTAGTCGTGTCCTGATACACAATAACACGGTTTCTAATTTACGAGAAAAGTCAGGTTAATTTCTGGTACCAGTGAACTTTGCTTTACCCTCTTTCATGGTTCTGCTTGTGAGATTGAGTAATTACGACACAATATTCTGTCAGCAAATTTAATGAGATATCTGAGGTAACAAATGCGTTCAGTTGAATCACTACACAATACATTACATGTAGTTGTTTGGTACACTGCTACACGAAAAGTTATTTTCAATATTGTCGTAAAGAACTCAAAAGGTGGGTCTATCATTTTCGTGAGTATATCTCAACCCTTTTGTTCGGTAAGTTTTGTTGCAGTCAAACGCATCATGGGAAAAAATTTGGCAAATACCCCTTACTTTATCGTTTCATCCTCAATTAATCCATTCAGTTTCTGAAATTTAAAAAGTTTGATAAAGAAAATGTTACCTTCTTTTTGAAAAATTAAATTGGGTTAGCATTTATGCCTTTAAACAGGATCATGTTGACAGGAGCGTGTCCAAAAAGCTTATTAATTCGCGTTTTGAAAGTGCTTGTCATGAGGGAAAAGTTTGGTGCATGTTTCCATTTATTTTCCTCTTTCACAGTCGTAGAAAGTGCTTAATATTTTCCTTTATTCGCTTTTTCAACTTTAGTCTTCAGCGGACAGAAAAGATGAATACTTGCTTCCACTTAACTTCTCTTTTGCTTTTTGTCGCCGCATTTCTCTCTGGTAAGAATACTCCTGAGTTTAACACTATTTGATGATCCTTCCTGGCGAACAGCACGAAGGAAATAGACTGCATTTTTCCATTAAAAATGTTCTGACTGGGGTTCTGAATAAATTCGACAAGACATCGAGCTGGTGAATCACGCTGATGGAAACTAATAAGATGTCTTCAATTAAAAAAAAAAAAAAAAAAAAAACCAGAGGATCGATCTAATTAAATGAATGTCCTTCCACTGTAAGCTTTCGGTCCTCCTTACACTGTTCGCAAAAGCAGATGTTCAGATAAAAAAATTCAGCTACACTGAGGATTGTTAAGGACGCGCTTTTGTGAAACAATGGCTAAACTTTGTTTAAATAATTAAACCTAAGAATTAAGCGGCCCAGCAGACAACCTGGGTTCACTATCACATAATTTCTATCTATCATTCTATCTTGATTGTTATAACATTTCCACTTTTGATTGATTCAGATCACCAGGTGAATTGTAAGTGTGGCTCTTCTGGCATCGCCGACACACCTTGGGCAGCTTGTCTTGTTGCAGAAAATGAAGAGTGCCCCAACAATTTTATCAAACTTGAAGATGACACTACTTGCAGCCCAAGTAGCCGGAGGACCCCCGCATGGAAGCCACGGGTGTGTTGCCTCCTGACACCAAATATGGAATTTAAGGTAAATTTGATCAAAAGCAGGTGTCTCGTAACACAGGTTGGGTGGCCTAGAGGATGAACTCCTGAAACTCGAGACACTTTACCTTTTAAGCACCTCTCCCCGCCCAGCACATGGAGTTCAGGAACCATACTTGAATACTACGACTTCATGTAATCTGACTCGGAAAAAGTTAATAAAAAGAAAACACACAAAGACATAAGGCGCAACTAAGACGAAATAAGAAGACTTGCATCGCATTAAAAAGAATATAGGTGGCCCTTTCCTCTTCTCTCTTAAACTTAAAGGATCTATTGGCTAGGAATAATAGTATCAGCGTACAGATTGATGCATGAACATTAAGCTTTTAAGTCGCTTTATCTCAAGCCGTAAAGCAGGGTAGATAAGAAGCGACATTTGTTATTGCGAATTCTTAGTTTCCGCTAATGATTTATGCATCAACATTTGTGACCTTTGAGTTAGTTTTCTTCCCCAGTGATCTAAAACTTAAAGATCAAAATAGTCTTGGCTCACGTTTTCAGCGCTGTTACTTTCCCTCTTCCTTATTTACTTATCTGCTTGATGGTCAGCGTTTAAATAATTGTCCATTTTTGTCATTTATTATCTAATAACTGCTTAATTTTTGTTTTGTTTAAAAACACTGGGCTTACTTAATTTTTACCTCAACACATTTATAATTTTACGTGGAGGACGATTTTATTTATTTTTTATATTCCTTACACATGTAACCTCCCCACAGATTAAGGATTCACCATGTCTAGCGGGAAGTCCAGCAAGCAATGACGAGGCAAAGAAGACTCGTAAACACCACTGATTTCGTCAAAAAAGTACCCTTACTTCAATTTGTTTCATTGCCAATAAAAACAGTTTTTTTGGTAATTGTCGAACTACTTCCTTAATAACAAAAAAGTGATGACTGCAGTATGCAAAAGTAACGGTGACGATTATTTCTGAATATCGTTCTTTATTTCCCTGAGATATCGCCAATCTCCTAGTTCAGTTTGTCTTGAATGGACTTGTATCGAATTAATTTTCACTTTGTATTGAAACGAACTAACTCCTCTACGGCTTTTCGGTCGATTAGAAGTCGATCAAGTTCTGCTGATAAAAATTATTAAGCATTTTGTAAAATGCTAGCGAAGCGACCCATGAGACGTAGGTGAAACGACCTGTGACGTTGGCGAAACGACCTACAATGTTGGCCAACTGGTCGTTAGCAAAACTCCTAGTAGGCGAAACGACTGTTTACCGTTCTAGCGAAATATCGCAACAACGGTGTAACGGATAGCACGCGACACACAATCAAAATGCATTAAATTAACATCACTCCTACGGAATATCGCCTCAGCAATTTATCTTATAGCAAGGATGAGTCATCGAGCGATTTCTCAGCAAAATGATTTTCTTTAGGCGAGAAATGTATGTTTTATGTACTTAAAGAGAAATAACAATGTGATATTTTAAGTTCCTCCCCCCTTTCAGGATCATATCTCACCAGCCAAGCCTAACTAGAGGAAATTCAATTGTTCAATGTCTTCAGGTATCCAACCTAGAAAAAACAATGCACAAGAACTCAAAACAATCCTTAGCTTTATCATTTTATGGTATAAGGAATAATAACCACTCTTGATAGAATAAATTGCTTAAGTTCTGATTTTAAACAAACAAAACAAAACAAAAAAATAAACAAAAAGGAATCAAGAAAACAAAAACAAAAATGATCCCGGTTCGGGCGGCTCTGAAATTTCCTTTGAATCAAGTAATTGAGAGGAAATTTTCAATTTTTCTAGCCCGACCGTTTACAATCAGAGGCTTTTGGATCACCTCAGTTAACGTCGTGAGCTTAGAAAAAGGATTCACTTGCATCCCGAGTGTCTTGAGTGAATTTTTGCGCTAAGACAAGCTGAAGAAAGGTAATGCTCATCGCTTCTAGCGTTGAAGATTAAAGGAGAAGTATGCTGAAGAAACGACAAAATTTAGCCATTAAGTGGTTTGAATGAGATATGAGGTTGACCGTATTTTGAGATTCCAAAAGGTAATTCAATAACTCGAAAACTGTCAAAGGGCAAAGCATTTGAGTTGTATCTTAAGCAACTGAGCAAATTTCAACTAAATACCCGCCCCCTTCTTTATAAAAAGCTTATCAATCATACTTCCTTCACGACGACTCTCTGTGATGCTTAACAAAACTGTCTGCGTTCTTTAGTAAAAGTTCCAAAGTGTACCTTAAATCCATTTATTTCTCGCATGGTAGGTGCTACTGCCGTTGTACTCTTCATAAGCAAAAGAATAAGATGCAGACAAGTTTCCTTTGGAAACGTTAACAGTTGAACCGTGGGGTTGTTCCGCCAAGAATCTACCTCGTGTTCCCTGTTCATTATTAATTTTGCAGAGAAAGTAACACAGCAATAAGAGACTAGATTTCTTAGCGCAACACAAAGTTAGGTGTACATTTATAGCCAACAACTAACTTGGTACGGACAAAAATCTTAAAAAAGACAAAAAAAAAATTAATAAAATAATCAGTTCTCGGTGAGATGTTCTTTCCAGCTTCCTTAGAAATAGTGCCCTTACTTTTAATTAGCACAGAGAACATATCAACTTACCAATCAGTGCCTAGGGGTGGCTTAAGTTTGTAAAGAATTTTCACCACCTGCAGGTATCTGGCTGTAAACAGAGAGTAACAAAAGCTTAGAGACTGGATTTATTAGCACAACACAAATTTAGTTGTACATGTAAAGCCAACAGCTAACTTGGTACGGACACAAATCTTGAAAAGAGACTAAAAAAGTTAAAAAGAAAGTCAATACCTGTATTGCGAACAGAAAAAAGGCCAGTTTTACTGTAACAACCATATAAAGTTCCAGGTTCGATATTCGTTATCATCGCAGCATCAGCATTAAAAAGCCAAAGCTGAGAAAAAAGAAAATAAAATGAGAATGGGGTATCAATTAAACAAGCGAAAGTGTAATTTTCCAATATCTGACCATTGTTCTAGCATAGAACCAGTTAATATTTTCAGCATTACATAATTCTGATGCCCCATTTCTTTAGATGTGTCAATGGAATCTGCTGGTTTGCTTTAAGAAACAGTGGCTGCATGGCAGAGGCAAGTCCTCTCAAGATGGGGAGCAATCCATCACTGTGCTGGAGAAGATGATTACTGACTGACTGATGTATGACATATTAAGATATTGAGCAGAAATATGAACACCTTGGGAATCAGGCATACCTGAGTTTTAAATTATCAGTGAAAGCCTCAGCTAATAAGGCTTTTTAAGGTATAAATGTCGTCTAACTTCTTTGATATATCAAACTGTATGCACACATAGCATAGAGAGAATACTTACATGTAGGTTTATATTGCCATTGACAAGACAAGACATTGTGAGTATGTGGTAGAATAAAATGTTAGTACTAAGCAGCTTAGTCAATTTTCCACCTAAACCCTCTACGCCCTAACATCAGTGTGCATATTCCCCATACTGTTCTCTGTACATTTCTCATGGTACCAACATGATGAATTTGTTTAACAGTCAAGAGCTCCTTTAGTTGGCAAATCATTCCTTTAATTCTCATGGATGAACTTAATGTTTGAATCAGCAATGAAACTGCAAGGAGAAAAGCTGCTTGTCACTCTTAATGTACAATGCAGCCAGCAGACTACAGATTGGGTATGAAGTGAAGACTGAGAACAAAATATTATCCATGTCAGTCATACTTACAGTAGAAATGTGATAGCATTTTATAACCTGCCCAATTTACTGCCTATTGTTGAACAATCACTTTACAATCACTCATATTGTTTGCTGACTTGGTGGAAAACTACCTAGGGCTGTCTGAAAGAAATGAGCTGAAATACTGTACTCTAAATATCTGCCCCCTTTAAACAAAACAGTCTCTTTGAAGACTACTAAATGACAACCCTCTGGTAATAGAAAACAATACAGTCAAGACTTACACAGGCATGTGTTTGTATCCCACCATTCTGCTTGGATTCTTGAATTAAAAATCGAAAGTTTGCAGTGCCTTGTGATTTGGAAGTCAAGCAACTTGAAAGAAATGTTTCCATGCAATATGTCCTGGAAAAGAAAAAAAACTTCTGTAATGTTTCATCAGTGTTCATTTAATTTATTGCAAAAATTGTAAGGTTGTTGAATTTTTTCATAGGTAGATGTAAATTTATGTGGTCTTTCAGTGCTAATACAGCCCCCAATTTATTAACCACACGGTCACCCACCAATACAAGTTCTGGCTAGAATTACATTATCTGTCTGCTGAGTCAGTCATGGTCTTAACTGTTGAATCTTCAGATTTTCAGGATTGATCAGGTGAAAGAATACATAAATTATGACTTAAAACAAGCCCAATAAAAAGTTTGGAAAATGCTGTACCTGAACAAGTTACTGAATCGTAGGCTAACAGTGTGCTTGTAAAGATAAATGCTGGATTCTACATCACTAAGATCCATCACCACAGAATCTGCACGAATACATCCCAGAGTGGTTTTGCATCTGCAACACTCTATAACTTGATCTTCATTGCCCTTTGAAAAAGCAAACAATTTCACATTTCTACACTACTTAATAACAATCAAAACCTTCCTCCAGCCACTGACCATGCTGCAACATTTGCAGAAAAAGTATCAAACACCTTAAAAATATGATCTTCATCAATCCTTACTGGTGCAAACTGCAGTCTTCTAGGTTCCATAGTTGAAGGGTGCACTTTGATGTAGTATTCTCCAACAAAGCAGTCCTTTTCACCTGGTTCAAGAACCCCTGCAGCAGATGTTAGATGACTTGTTCCATGACAACACCAGTCCTGAGCAAGTTTGAGCCAGTTTTCAGAAGGCAACTCAAGAACTCTGTCAAACTGTCTTTAAAAAACAAAGATGAAAATCAATGATATTTAAAAGTTGGGAGATGCAGAGGCATATTTATTAACAGAATGTGTTCCATATGGAAAGCAGGGGTTAGAGCCTTGGCTGAGTCACTTCAGTGTTTTGTTCTTGGGCAAGACTTTTAATTATCTTATTGTGCCTCCCATCACACAGAAGTATAAATGGGGGCAGGAAAATGTTAAAAGAAACCTGATAAATTGCTGAGGAATAACTTTGTAATGGACTTGCATTCCATTCAGGTCAGAATATAATTTTTTTATTTTATAATTTCAGTAACTTTCTGCAGCTGAAACTAGGATAAACCCTTTGTACTAAACCTATAAAATGATTAACCCTTTGTTTCAAACTTACCAATTAATACACCTTTTATTACTAACAGAGATCTCTCAATTCTGTATCTTACAGTATGAACCAAGAAAATGAGGATGGTAAGAAATCTATAACATATCTGGAGTTCAAATTGGAAAGATTTTGATTTAAAGAAACTTTTGAATTTAGCTGGCAGTACTGTGAAATATGGTCTGCCACAAAGATCTTTGAATCATAGCATGCTACACTTATTATCTGAGGCATATAGTTTAATGACTTTACAGAACCTGTCAAATGAAATTAATTGCACTTATTTGTACGTTATCATAGTTGGCAGTACTGGTTCCAATTTCAGCATGGGTAGTCCAATGTTTCCACCATAAGGTCACATGCTAGACATTCCCAAAGATAGAGGTTATCTTTGGTGGGGGGATGGTGTTGTAATAAGACAGCTGAACATGAGGAATACATTTTAAGGAGGAATTAAAGTTACTATTTGACTTTTGAGCAAGTTACATGTACAAATACAGTACAATCTATGTTTCACATATTTCTCTATGGTGGCTCTTCTACAGTGTACATGTATGTCTAGCCTGTATAAGCTTCAATATTTAATCATGGTCTGAAAGTCTGCAATCTGCTGTCTGTTGATTATAATGACCATGAAAAACATGTTTGCAAAACCTGAATGATATTTACATGTATGATTGCCTTGTGCAAAAGTCCAGTAAAGCTTACATTTCTGGAGAAAGAATGGATGCACCACACATGCGGCAACAAACACTGTGACAGCCCTTCCTCAATTCTCTTAATTCCTCCTTCAAAATTCTCTTTGTAAATCCCTCTTGTGATTCATGACATGTTTGATGTTCAAATCCAAGCCTCATTTGAATCTCATTTTTCCCACATGTTGAAAGGCCACTTACACTCCTGGGTATCACACTGAAAGAAACTATTTAGGGTGCATCTTGTAAGTTAAAATGGCGTTCAGTTAGATGTAATTTGGTATTATTAAATGAGTCAACAAAGTAAATTGTCCACTGTGAAGAGTTTGAATGAAAATGTTTCAGGTGTTGGTCCTTCATCAGAGAGGTGTCCAATTTATGTTATTAACTCAGTTGATAATACCAAGTTATGTTACTAGGACACCTTGTCTGGAAAATAGGCAGAGACCGATCGACCATTTACACCCTAATATCAATATGTGTTCATCTTGTGTGTTCCCCTGGAAATGAGAGAGGCTGTAGGCCCAAACAGAAAGTGGGAAGTCCTTTTGACTAGGGGATGGCGGACTGTTTTCATTTTCTGCTAACTACAATACCTGTGCTGGAACCAATCTGTATTGATTCATCCTCATCCTTCTTTCTGATCCTACCAGCAACAGAAAGAGGAGACTACTAACATATATCAAGAGAACAGCACAAGGTCTCCATATTGTCCTACCTGAGCCAAAGCTACAACCTCATCACTCAAGAGAAATGGATGCCACCATACCAGAGGGTCAAATACACCTTATAATACCTATCCCTTCCCATCTTCCCATTATTGCATTTGAGGATACTTGTGGCTTAATACACTGTAGCATGATCAGATCTGAACTGACATAGAAAGATTTCTCCACATTCTTTAACACGAGTTTAGAGTATTTCACCTCAATTCCTTAGCCATAGATCAGTTTTCCACCAAATGAACCAATTAAGTCACCAGTCAGCAAATAATACGAGTTATTGTTCTATAATGGGCAGGTTATAAATTATTTTCACATTTCTAGGTTTGACTCTGAAAAGAATGATATTCGTTCTCAGTCTGCATTTTGTACCCAATCTGTAGTCTGCAGGCTGCATCATACATATTTTATCGACCGATTTGGCCACCACAAGGGATAAGAAGACCGAAAAAATGGGAAAATATTTGTATAGCTCCATACTATTTAGCACAGTTCCCTGTACTTTGCGGAGCACACGGTCGTTAAGTTCATCTAGACGAAATTTTCTCCTAGCTAACATTGCTCTGAGCTCGACAAACATTTCTCGGTCAATTATTAATTATGACACTTGGGTAGCTTTGCAATATATTTACTTGTAGACAAGCACACACCTACCAGGAAAATGCACAGAAACGTTATCGCCATGTATCTTGTCCATAGTATCTACGCTGACCACGTGGCTGTTGATCTCCAAATGTTGCGGACAAATTTTAACCTTTTTCTTTAAATCACCGCTATTAGCGAATTTCCTTCTCGCAGTATGTCCCAAACTAACCACTAAATAAGTAGCATTAAAGTTCTTACCGACATCACACCAAATCGGCGGTACGCTTGAATTATCCGCCATTTTGTAAAGTACCAGATTCCAGTACTAACTCGTCTTTTAATTAGTCGGCTCCAGTCTCTTTTATCGCCATCGGCCAGTGAGTATTTTTGACTGCTTTGTTTTGTAGCACGTTGTGGCTATTTGAGCGTGGAAGAAGCCATTTGGGGGTTTTCTACTGCATTTCTTAAATGAAAGTAAATATAGGATTCTTCTTACACCAATAACAAACTTAATTCCAACTGCTCTATCAGGGCAGAAGTATATTTGCCTTCCTCCCCACCCTCCCCCCTCCCCTACTCTTTCAGTGAAATCACTGCCGCTACTACACAATATGAGCCTGCGTCAATTTTTTTCGTTTGTGAGAAGAGTTTCTTTCATGTCTTATTTACCGCGCTATTGTTAAGTTTCATTTCACGGTCTCTCTAATTCCTGAAGTCGAATCCGGTATACACAGCTCATTTCCGTGTGGCTCTCTTGATTCCCCCGGGTTCTATAGTGGAAGTCTCACCAAGACATTATAAACGGTTTACATTCTCTTGGTCTCACCAATTTTACTCACACGATATTTTTTATACTAATATTGTTTGCCGTTCAAATTGGGAATAATTACGACAAAAACAATCATTTATAGAGCTTTGCTTTAGCTTTTATTAAATGCCTCTTTGACCCAACGTATTTGAAGAGATTTGAACTACAGTGTGTGCAATGCGGCAAATAACCCCGCCTTTCTTATCCAATAAGATAAAATAAAACGGTAATTTCGGCCAACTGGGTGCGTTTTCGTTCGTCTATTTGGAGCATCTTCTCCTTAACTATGACTAAGCAAGTGCCTCTACTTGGAGGCAAACTTAACGACTACAAGAAGACTCTACTTTTTGCCAGCGATTGCGACGCCCTTGTTGTCCCATTCATTGCTCTGTAATGACTTCAGCATGAAGTGAGCGACATCAGCGCGAGAAACTCTCCAGGCAGATCTTGGTACAGACTGTCCCTCTGCCACCACATAATTAGTTTCGGTCAAAGGCCCTAAAAAAACAAAGAAACAATTCAGACAAAAACGTGTACAAAGGTACTTATGATTTAGCAATCCCCTCCACAATGACATCCGGGCTATTAAGGAGGCCTCGCTACCTTGAGTATCTAAAGTTATAGATTTGCATAGCGTTTGGACAAAGTTTCCCCAGCTTGAAACAGCTGTAGTGAGATGGTCGTATGTTTAAGGTTAGTCTGTGGAACAGGGCTGTGTTAGGAAAACTTTATTGTAGGTTGTTTGTCGTAATTCGGCTAGGTCACTAATTAAGTTCATTCAAAATGTTCGTAAACTTGAAATTGTAATGTACGTGAGGCATGACCGGAGAAGGATCTTCAAAGCTGAATCTCATTCTTTTTAAATGCTTGAATATATATATTTTTTACACTCATCATGAGCACTTACGAGGGTGACTCTGAACACAACTTTATCGTTCCCGTAAGAGTTAGAATAATAATCTATTTTAAGTGCGTAGCGTGGAAAATTTTCATTAGATCATAAATAAAGACAAGACTTCGAGCATAATTACTAACCAAACTGTTGCATTCGGGAACAATATGTTTGAAATCCTCGATTAGAAAAGAGAAATAAATTATAATTGGTGTAGTAGATTCGTCGTTTTTCACCAAATTTGTGCGATATAAGCTTTCAGGGAGAGAAAGGTAAATAATCAATGGAAACATAATTCGATAGTACTCATAGTATGTTATTATGTACCTTTCGTTAGGATTGGAGGTCGCACAATAGTGTAACAGATATTGGACTTCATTACAATATTTTCCATCAGCACCATATCATTTATGAAAGCCCGTGCCAGTGGCCTTCCAAACCAGTCCCACAACCTGGGATTTGACGGATCTTTCTGAGTGTAAATACCAGTCATACAAACCAATCGGCCGACACCTGTCCTGTTGAGTTCAATCAAAACGAAGAATGAAGATTTTTTTTTTCAGGTCCTATTTACAACTACTCGTTTCAGTAGTGTTCTTAGCTGCGATGATCTCTTAATTTCAACAAAACGAAGAAGTTAACACTTTGGGCCGGTTATAAACTGGAGGTCTACTCCAAATCGCAGTTTTACGCATCCAGTGGTCCTTACGTATTTTCTGTGAGAGGGTTGTTTTCCACTACTTGCTTTCAGTCGGCCCTATTGCCACTGTTTTCAAATATGAATGTTGAGATAAAGAAGATTCAGCGAAAGATAGAACGCTGTTTATTCGAAAAACGGCTAAACTTCGTTTAAGCAACCGGCCCTTTATGTGTTAAGAGAGGAGGAAGCCAAGATATTTGATCTTTAGAGATCATGAGGACTTTTGTTTTCTTCTCTATTTGTTCTTTGCCAGAATTTAAATCTATACTCGAGTGACCCACGTAGCCGTAGCATGAAGCGACTAAGAGTATCACTACTCCACCCCTTCCCCATAAAATTTTAGTCCATCGCAAGGTTACCCCTAAGCTATCAGGCTTCCCTGAGCAATTCGCCAGTTCCATTTATACTCCTAGGGGGACTAGGCACTTTGAGGGTTAACAGTCCCACATTCTTTGTTAAAGTATACCAGCAAAATGCGGGGCATTGGTCACATCTTAGGGAAACCGGATTATTGAGTCTGAATATGACTTGAGGAAGACAATGTGTCCAATGAGGCCTTTTCAAGGGGTTTCAGTCTCTCAGCTCTATCCTTTGTAAAATCTTTGTAAATATTTAATGCTCACTGTATTTCTCTATCTGCAGGTGTTTCACGTTATATAAAAACTCGATTACCTTTCCATTGCTGATGTGATAGGAGTTATTGATTTTGAGTATAGCGTTGTCGGCGAGAAAATTGTTCCTTTGTGAAAACCCAGACATGACAGCACAGCATTTTTTCCTTCGATGATGGGTACCAGAGACTCTACATCAAAGATATCTCCTTTGACCACTTCGAGGTTTTCTTGTCTGAGGCGAAAAATCCAAAAATTATTTCCGGGAAAACTTGCAGGTTATCTGGTTTTTTAATTATACTTACCTTGACTCTGCGTGGCAGCGCTCTTCGCGATACAAAACTCATTGACTGAAACGTAACTCGTTTTTAATTAGAAGCCCAAATAACATGCGTGACTGACTAATCAGGGTTGTGACACCCACCAGTCTTTTAAAAATAACTTAAATCAGCTTGTACTTTGGTAAATTTACAAGATCTTGCTTTAGAGATTGATGGTTTAAAAACTAACTGAGCTTCTCTTCTAGCCCTCAATTTATGTTTGACCAAGACCGATGGCAATTTGCTTAAACGCAGTCAAGAGTGATGCAGGTGAAAAGAATATAATTATGCAAATTAGGTTGCGTGTATTCCTATTCTTCGATCGCCATTATTGTTGCTTTGCCAAATTTTCTCCCGATTTACTGCCATCCTACTGATTTTGTGTAAGAATAAACATCACAGAATCTTTCACATACACTATGTATGACAAACAGCAATCTTAATGGGACAAACTGAATTAGTTCCACTCGCCAAGTTCTGATATTAGTGTAAAGGAGAGACATGTATTCGTATCAAATACGCTCAGTTTGCTAATTGTGATGTCTTAAAACATTGCAATGAAACCGAACGATTTTTGTTTGCTTTAAAAATAACCTCGACCCGTGTAAGTATTGAACGAGACAAGCAAAGATTGTTTCGGCTCACAAGCTCGAGATTTAAAGACAACAGACATCAGCAACCATAGCTATGAAAATCACCTACTTTATGGGAAAGGATTCGGGGTTTCTTGCTACGGCGGTGACGGCATGGCCTTTTTCCAGAGCTTGCTGAACAACTGCAAGGCCTGTTGGTCCTGTGGCACCAAAGACTACTAGCTTTGGAAAGAGTAACTCTGCGGCAGTAGCCATGGCTCAGCAATTTACATGTAAGTGTATGAATATGTTTGCATCGGAAAGTCACGCTCCATCAATAAAGTCACGAAACACCAACCACTGGATACAGTCTACAGGTCGATCCATGGCGAGTGGTCCTCAGTTACAGTTTCCTAAGCTAATAGTATTTGGTGCATCAGGACCAACGGGCCTTGAAGTTGTTCAGCAGAATCTGGCAAAAGGCCATGCTGTTACTGCTGTAGTGAGAACCCCGGAAAGTTTCTCTATTGAGTAAGTGGATTTTGACTTACCTATGCTAGTTGTTGTCGTCTTTAAATCTTACCTTTGCGAATCAAAGCGACTTTGCAAGTTTCTTCCTAGACTCTTATCCATTGAAAATTTTAAAGTAAAATCAAACAAATAAAATGAAACGGAATCTTTTCGAATTTCGAATCTTCACTTGCACAATTAAAGACATCATCTTGGATAAACGCGCAATGTATCTGTTTCTGTGCAAACAATACATGCAAGTATATTGAAAAATTATGCGTCAGTTATAATTCTATTTTCAATGGAAAGCGGATAGAACGCTGCCTTAATGTATATTTCTGTGCGAAATCATCGACTGAGTAGCAGCGGACCCAGAAAACATATGACAACGCAACAAAACTAGAAATCAAGAAGGCAATTTACATATAATCCAATCTCTCAAACTCTCTTATTTTCTCGGTAAAGTAAACAACCTTTTGTTGATCTTTGTCGATTATTGATTGGAACCAATAGAGAGTCTTTCCAAAAGCTACTATTACCACGGAGTTGTAAATCACATTTCGGAGCACGTGCAGGCAAGACGAGAAAAGGGAAAAAAATGTTTTTTGGGGCGCTCAAGTTGAGATCTATGTTAGGCTGTTATTCTTTGCTAATTTATTCTTGGCTCGCACTCTTTTAAAACAACGAATATATAATTTTTCAAAGTTAGTTAAAGCACGACGCTGCTAAACGAATTCAAAGTAAGACATATGTAACAGATCCAAATTATCACCCATTGTCCTCACCGTGTCGTGTTCTGCATTAATTTAAAAGACATCAAAATCTTGAAGTAATTAAATAGATGTCTTTGATGTAGTCTATAGCACCCATCATCGACGGAAAGAGTGCTGTGTTTTCATGCCTGGGTTTTCACAATGGAACATTTTTCTCACCAACGATGTTATACTCCAAATCTATAACGTCCATAACGTCAGCAATGGAAAGGTAATCGATTTGAATTTTTTTTGTCTTCTGTTTCTTTATACCTGTATGGTGAGATGGTTTACTGAACATAAATAAATCAAGCTAAAAGGTTGTGTCTCTTATATTAGCCCCATTTAAGAGGCAAAGAGAACATTCTTCTCAAATTATTTTTGGACTTTGTCGAGGTATCTGGTCTCCCTGGAATCTCGTCGATCGAGTTTTGGAAAGACATGTAGCAGACGACGTATGAATGTCTATATGGCCAAACAATCCCGCCATTTTGCCGCATCACGAAATCACGCTCCTTATCAGGCCGAGGTGGTCGGTTAGACCATCCTGATATCTCAAAAAGCCGAGATGATCTAAAAATAACCTCGTATTTTGGGAATAAAGCCTCCCTTGATGAGTTATAGCGCTAGCATAACGTGAACTATGGAGGCAAAGGTTCAGTACCCGTCGAAGTCTGAAATTTTCAGCTTTATCTGTTTGTTTCTTTTTCTTTCTTTCTTTCTTTCTTTCTTTCTTTTTTACTATTTCTTTTATTTTCCTCTCTCTTTTTCTAATCTTTTTTTTTCCCGCTATTACCCTAATTGCAGTAAACATGTGAAGATCAAACCGTCACTTGTAATATATTTTTTAATTGCTTTGATTTGTTTTGATTGCAAAAGGACAGGTGTTGGTAGACTGGTTTGTGTGACTAGTATCTACGTTCAGAAGGATCCATAAAATTCTAGGTGGATGGATTGGATTGTACGGCCACTTCTTCGGGCCTGCATCAACGACATGATACTGATGTTGAAGTCCTAAATGTAATAACTGTCCTAAATGTAATAAAGTCCTAA